CCCACATCCCCCCACATCTCAGTGTCATCAGCAAATTTGAACAGGGTGCTTTTTACCCCCTCGTCCAAGTCACTGATGAAGAAGTTGAACAGTGCAGGCCTGAGGACCGAGCCCTGCTGAACCCCACTACCCACATCCCTCCAAGTCAGAAATGACCCATCCACCACCACTCTCTGGGTGCAGCCCTCCAGCCAGTTGGCGACCCAATTGACTGTGTGGGTGTCGACATCACAGTCCCCCAGTTTCTTAATGAGAATGGGGTGAGAGACAGTGTTGAAGGCCTTCTGAAAGTCCAGGAAGACTATGTCCACTGCTACCCCTGCATCTAAGGATTCTGTGACCTGGTCATAGAAGGCCACCAGGTTGGTCTGACAGGACCTGTCTCTAATGAACCCATGTTGGTTGCCCCTAAGCATAATCTCCCCTGCTGGCCCCTTGTGGACATGTGCCTGAATAATTCTCTCAAAAAGTTTACCCAGGATCGAGGTAAGGCTAACTGGCCTATAGTTTCCCGGGTCCTCCTTCCTCCCTTTTTTGAAGATGGGAACCACATTGGCCCTCTTCCAGTCCTCTGGCACCACACCAGAGCACCACAAGTGCTTGTACAGCCGTGCCAGGGGTCCCACAATGACCTCAGCTAATTCCCTCAGCACTCTGGGGTGGAGATTGTCTGGACCAGCTGACTTAAATACATCCAGTCCCTCCAGAAGTTCCCTGACTAGATCCTCACTGACCCTTGGCCTAGGTGCGCCTCCCCTGGGGCCTGAGGGGGGCCGAGTGGGGGGGCTGATAATGTCCCTGCTCAGGAAAATGGGGGCAAAGAAATCGTTAAATAGGTTAGCTATTCAGAGAGACTAGAAGAAGGTTTAAAAAGTTTTGTTTCAATGCAAGTAATTAGTCAAATTACATTGATAAACTACATTTTTCCATGAGAAACATAGTTTAAAAAAATACCTTCTACCATTTTTCCTTCTCTGATGCTCAACTATTGTTGAAACAAGCTGAACACAAGCAGCTAGATTTTTTGTTTGTTTTTGTTTTTTGGAGTAGTGTCTTGTGATCTTGAATACTTTAGCATACTTTAAAACCTGCTTTGACATTGGCTATTCCACTCCAGTAAATTTCTTGGGCAATACATTTCAAATTCCAAATGTTTGCTTAAACTGGTAAAACAAAAAGGAGTGACTCCTCCCAGTTAACCTTTCCTTGCAGTGAAAGTGCTTCCATCATACCACCTGAAATAATTACCATTGTACTTGTTTTCATTTTTTAAAAAGGAAATGATTAACTAAAACCTCCTCTGAAGCTCTTAGTTAGAAAAACTGCATTTTTGCCAGTTAAGAGTCCCTCTGTAGATAGGGTAACATTCTGAATTCTGCCTATGCAAGTAGAGACTGACTTTCTTTCACTGAAAATGTAAATCTCCCTCACTTGTTTGATCTCTCATACTGCACATTCTGTATTGTTGATGCTGAAGACATTTGTTACCTTCTGTAAGGTGACCGTAATTGACCAAAATTTGCTCAGGCATTATCTCCTTGTGTGTCTGGCAAAATATTTCACATGCTGAGGCCTTTTCATTTATTTTCTGAAATGACAAAAAAGCCTAACCATTTGGGATCAGCAGTGCCTTCTCCAGTTCACTTCAGGTTTTGTGCAACAAAGCTGTTTTGATTTCAGATCTAGTACATAATTTTTTGAGGTAAATATAACCACGTTTGTGTATTTTAGGGAGACAAAATTGGGTTTATAGTGGAAGCCTGTATGCAACATTAACTGTGAATTTCTATACACACACTTCTTTGACCATCCTCAGAATTCTTCAGTCTGTTTACTGAAGCAGAAATGTGAATCTGTATTGTGAACCTTTTCAGATTTGTTTTAGGACAGTGATTTGCACAGTCAATTACATGCCAAACAGTTCATTATCCTTAACTGCTCATTACTGTACTATGCCTGGTGTACTACTTATCTGATGTTTACTAACCTGTCTGATATACTTGTATGTAAGAGAAGAATATTTTTAGGCTAATTGGAATGCACAAAATACTCATGCATGTTACTTTCCTCATCTGAAATACAGGGCGTTTAACTGATAGAATCATATATGTATTTGAAAAGATCAGATACTTAACATTTTCTCTAAAAGGGGAATAAAGTTGTTAGAGCATGAATGTACATTTTTAACGTAAATCTCAACAACTTTGAATGTGTGTGTCACACCTTGTATTTCAGACAAAATGTGATGGAAGTGTTTACACATTTTAGAAGTATAATTTGTCATCGTATTTTGCTACTAAAAGAATTTAGATTTAACAGCATTAAATTGAGGGTACTTGGCTGTAATTATTTGCCATGTTAGTGCCTCTCCTTTCCTTTACCAATATTATGGGCATCAGCAGTGGGTCAGGCAAGTTTTATAAACAATCCAAGTTTGTTTAATCTGCTTTACTGTGCTTAAAGTATTTACTGAGGTGTTTTGTCTAATCCTGTCAGCCTCATATGCAAGTAGTAGATGACCACTAAGCTCATCTTTGCAGTGTTAAAAAAAAGTAGTCCAACAAGCTGTTTTCTTCCTGGCTTTGTAGTTTACTTCACCTCGCAGTGGTATCTTCTGAATATTTCATCAGTCTGTCCTTAGTTAGCATGTGGGTGAGTGAAGTCTAATACTTTGGTGTTTCAGTTGAAGGTCACATCTGTGGCATTAATATTAATTATTCTTCTGTTATTTTTTTCTCTTTTTGCCTGCTTTTTGTTCATAAAGAATTGCTAAATGGTCTTTGCACTAAAAGCATGTAATATATCTTAAACAAAACCTGTTACTTATTTTCCTTACAAAGCTAAGTTTGTCAGATGGAAGCCTTAAATTATCAAATTGTGTAATCTGTACACAATTTGAGTCTTGAGATTTGATTCAGATCCACACCATCTCAGAGGCATGAAAAGATCAACCAGAAATTTTGAATCAAATCCTCTGTAGTAATAAAATATATTGAACTTAGCTTTGTTTTGCTGGTGCTTTTGCTTTTTTCATTTTCTGGGTTCTTTGAATAAATGGGTAAGTTGGATTCCTGTAGTATGTTCAAGATTGTGATGCTCAAAATGGAATTTTACACCATATAAATATCAAGTAGTTCTTGTTTTAAATAATGAAATTCTACGTGTGGGTCTTGATCCAGCAAAGCCCTTAAACATATGCTGAATTTCAAATTGAACTTCTTGCATAATTTGTAGACAGTGTGTGGTTTGTGCTTAACCAATTCAGGACTATGGATCTGGTGGCATTAAAGAATAAGAAGGTTTGGAAGAAAGTCTCTTAGGAACTTCATAGTATTTGTTTTGTACAGTTTTTAGGAATCATGTAGCATTCAGAGCAATCACTTTTAAATTAGAGAAAAAACCAATAGAGTTCAAATCTAAAAAACCCCAACTTCCTTACTGTAAAAATAGTAGGACAATGGGAACATACTGTCCAGCAAAATGGAGAAATTTCTTTCATTGGAAGTCTTCAGGAAGAGGCTAGATAAGCATGAGTCTGATTTAGGAGTAACAAATCTGCAGAGGATTGGACCAAATCTTGAGGTTCCTTCAGATTCTAAGTACTCCAAAACTAAGTTGATTTCAGCATGTAGCTGGACTTGCGTTCCTTGGGGTGTGCACATGCTTCAGTGCTTTGCTGGTTCGTGGCTGTGGGTTGGTGATAACAAAAGATGGCAGTGCAAAAGAGCAAGATCGTGATTTAGGAAGGAGGTTTTTAGGTCCATGATTGGGTAAGGAAAGAATTGTTTTGAATTTGGCCTAAGTGAGAGAGAAGGGGAATATAATTTAGTTGCTTTATAAATACTTTAATTTCTATTTAACCAGGCATCATACTCAAGTGTATTTTCTGGTCTCAAGTGGGTAAGCTAATTTTTCATCTGGGTTGATTGACCTACACTGAAAATGTCTTACTTGCTTATAAATCACAGAAGTTATTTGGCCTGATGTCAAACCTAAGATCCTTCCATCTCCTATTCCATTTCTGTAGCCACTAGACAAATTGATCCCCCTGATTTATTTTAATAGTAAATATTTGCATTTTCTTCTTCTTAAATTCATTTACTCGCTTTTATTTTTTGTTTTCCAGTCATGGCTACGACCATCTTGAAGAAATTGTGATAGTAAAATCTTTCATGACGACACTGCTTAGAAATATGGTCATATCTCTGTTCTCCTTTGAGAATGGACAAAAGGAAAAGCTATTATTCAGGGTCCCAAATGGAGCAGCAAGACAACTTTGGACCATGGATATAGTTTAAAACTGCCTTGGGAAGAGATGCTAATCAGGGGTTATCTGGTGATGAGTCTTTTCTCTCCTATTGAATACTGTCTTCTATTTTGTGTTTAAAAGTTATTTTTTTAAAGGGGGGGAAAAGACTTTTGTCTAGAAAGGTTTTGCCTACTGCTATATTTGAATGCAGGTTTCACTGGGTGTTTTTTAAGAGTTGAACTTCATGGTTTGTCTCTTCTATTTATTTATTTGTTTTTAATTTTTGTTTGAATGAACTGTGCAATACATTTTTGGGTGGGTAGCAGTTAGTGGGTGACTTCCAGATGAATTAGGCCATTTGACTAGTCCCTCCCTAATAAGATCTTTTGATTGTTTGCTAAGGACTATTTCTTTAAGCTTTTGCTTACAATAAATCCAAATTGCAGTACCTCGTTTGTTTACTCTTAGCTTTTGTACTTATATTTTCTGGAGAAGAAATACACTACTGTAAATTGTAAATAATACATAACTGTATAATATGCTCAACTGTGACTGTTGGCAATGCTAATCTGGCAGGAGCTGAGATTTAAATAAAATTCTATTTACTATATAATTTTTTTTTAACTTTTATGTGTTCTGAAAGATTTTTTTTTTTCTCTGAGCACTAATTTTATACTTATTCACAAAGAAGATGGCATCTATCTGAAACACTTGCCGTCCTAAAAAATTACATGCATCCTTTAGACATCCTTTTTTGAAGGTTTGCAGTCTAAATATCAGGTGTAGACATCATGGGAAACTGGAAAATTGGAATACTGTAACTTTATTACCCGTAATGGCTGTTGGAACACAGACATGGTGTTTGATCCTTTGTGCCTTTATTTTTACTTTATCTGAATAAACTCCCTACTGCACAGGCTTACAGTGATAGAAGACATGCTGCTATACATTCTGGTAATGGTAAAGCTTGGATATATTTATAAACTTTTCACATCATGTTTATGGTCATTTGGATAGTATTCATTTGCATTCTATCTATTAGTTTTACTGTCAGGCTTAGTTGTTGCATCTAAGCAATTTCACACACTGAAACTATTTCCCCCAGTACTGACAATTGGTTTAAGAGGTGATATTTCATGACGCACCAAGGTTACGGAGCCATAAAGGATGACCATCCATGTAGAAAGCCGGCAGTACAGGATGTTCATTTCTAGCCATGTATGATTTTTATGCTATTAGACCTTGAACCTGTATTGCTAAACATGAAAAAGTTATTTAAGGTCACTTTTTTATTTTGTAAAATGTTATTTACATTCCCTGTGAGACTTATTTGGCCGGACACATGGTAACTGAAGAAGTCTGGTTTTACATGTAAATGAATATGAAGAGTGAAATCAATAATCTTTTAATACTGCCATATGTTTTTAAAATATTTCTGTAAGCCATGTCATACAGTACATAGTGCAATAGGTTCCTGACTAGGACTCCTAATCTCTGGTAATACAAATAATGTACAGAACGCTTAATGGCAAGAGAGGAAGAATTAACAGCATCCAATTGGGGTGCTCTCATTGCTGATGAGCATTGTAAAATATGTGTGCTCCTCACACTTCCTGGGATGTGACAGAATACATTGTTCCCAATGTGAGCAACACTGTATGTAACAGTATACAGCAGAACATTAAGGGTTTTTTTTTCCCCCTTTGAAGCTATAAGGGGAAGTTTTGGTGGGGGAGAATGTAATTAGAATTTAAGCCACAATCCATTGACTATTTTATGGCATATACAAAAATATCTTTAATGATCCAGGTAGCTCAGGCATCTCTTATGACTCAGATGAGAGTTTGCCATTACAAAAGTACATGTATACATGTTAATAGAAATAAAAACAGAACTTTTTTCACGCTACAGACAAAGGAGAGAAAAGGTGAGTTTTGTGTGCGTGTGTGTGCTGGGTGGGGTTGCAACACTTACTAGCATCCCCCTCTTTCTGCTTAACCGGCTGCTGGGTCAGCATCTCTCTGCCTGCCACACCTTTGATTCTTGGGAGTAATTAGTTATTGAGAGGGAACCCAGGACTCTGGGGCTTGTTTATCTTGCCCCTTTACCTACATCTTCCAGTTGGCCTTAGTCCTGGGAGTCTTAGGATTTGTCTGTTGACTCCATCTAGGCACCTGTAGCCTAGGTTGGTGGTTCTCAACATTTTTTGTACCAGGACCCATTTGTAAACATCAATGGCCAGTCTCAGCCCAGTGTTCCTCACTCCCAACCCACTGCCCTCAGGCCCTAGCCCCCCCAGTGTGTGGGGCTGGGGTTGGGTGTGTGGGGCACAGG